GCTAGCTAGCTGCCTGTCTAGCGAGGTAGCTAGCCAGTCTCTCTCGCCTCTTCTTTTAATTTCCCAACTGTCTCTAATCCCCCATTTCTGCCCCAGATCCTGAGGGGTCCCTGGGGCCCCCTGGGGGCCCCCTGGGGGGGGCCCCCTGGGGGCCCCCTGGGGGCCCTCTGGGGGCCCCAAAGACCCAAAGGGGCCCCTAGGGGCCCCTAGCCACGAGATTCTGGGGGGCCCCCGGAGGGGCCTCCAGGGGGGCCCTGGGGGCCCCCAGAGGCCCCCAGGGGGGCCCCCGGGAGCCACTCTAGTTATCATGCCCTTGGGGGCCCCTAGGGGCCCCCACGCGCCCCTTTGGGGTTTTGGGTACTCAAACTAAGCCCTCTGCCGCATTTGTTAGCATGGGAAACCCTAGCTTGGAAACCCTAAACCCTAAACCCTAAATCCTAAAACGGAAAAGCCAGAGTAGTTATCGGGGCCTCGAGACGCCTACAAATAAGCAGCAGCAGCAGTTACTGCTGCTGCTGCTGCTGCTGCTCTTGTTTCGGCTGCAAGGAGGGCCCCCTTACAAGAAAATGGGGCCCCCTAAACATCTCCTGTGAGGAGGTCTAGGGGCCCCCGGCTGCTGCTGCTGCTGCGCTGTGGCTGCCAAGGGGGGGCCCCCGAGTGGGGGCCCCCTTGGGTGGCTGCTGCTGCGTCTGTGGAGCTGCTGCTATCAGCAGCAGCAGCATCAGCAGCAGCGTCAGCTGCTGCTGCTGCTGCTGCTGCACTGTCAGCAGCTACAGAGTCATACGGCGGCTCCTCTAAGTCGTCCCACGGGGAGTGGATATTTGCTGCTTCGTCCGCCTCGTCTGCTGCTGCTGCTGCTGCTGCTGCTGCTGCCTCTTCTTCTGCTGCTGCTACCTCCTCTGCTGCTGCTATCTCCTCTGCTGCTGCTGCTGCGTCCTCAGGTGTATCTGCAGATTGGTGGGCCCCTTCAGAGGGACTCCTGTCTCCCCACTGCAGCACATACTCTTGCTGATTTCCTGCTGCAGCAGGGCTGCTGCTGCTGCTGCTGCTGCTAGTGTTGCTGCTGCTGCTGCTGCTGCTGCCACTTGAGGGCTGTGGGGCTAGGTCGAGCAGCTCAACCTCCTGCATGCTTGCTGGAGGCCGCGTTGAGTAGCTTCCACGCTGCTGCTGCTGCCGCTGCTGCTGCTGCTGCTGCTGCTGCTGCTGCCATAGGAATATGCTGTCGTCATCATCTGTCTCCGGCGCAGGAGACAAATCAACAGCAACACCCAGTGCACTGACGCCCTCATAGTTCTGCTGCTGCCGCTGCTGCTCGTGCTGCCGCTGTTGCTGTTGCTGCTGTTGCTGCTGCTGCTGAAGCCGCTGCCGGTGCTGTTGCGGGCTGAGAGCAGCAGCAGCAGACGGCGGCACCAAGAAGCCAGAGGAAGGCCTCCGTTCTTGTATTTGCTGTTGTTGCTGTTGCTGCTGCTGTTGCTGCAGCCGCTGTTGTTGCTGCAGTTGCTGCTGTTGGAGCAGCAGCTGCTGCTGCTGCTGCCGTTGCTGCTGCAGCTGCGGGCTTGCGGCGGCCGCCGCGCCCGCGCCGGCCGGCGCTGCTGCTGCTGCCGCAGGCGCAGCAGCAGCAGCAGGCGCAGCAGCAGCAGCAGTTTGCTGCTGCTTCTTCAGCTGCGCAATTGCTGCTTTTATTTCTGCCACTTTTGCTTGCAATATTTCTCGCGTTTTTACCAGCGGGGGACTTGTGGCATCCTTTAAAGGAAGCACTTGTTCTGCATTCTGCAAATAATAAATAATTAAATTGAATAAATAAATAAATTAAATAAATTAAATTAAATTAAAATTTTGAAGAAATTCTAAAAGTTCAGGGGTAATTTAGAGAATTCAAAAGAGAATTAAAAAGAATTCAAAAAGAATTCAAAAAAAGAATTAAAAAAGAATTAAAAGGAAATTAAAAAGAATTAAAAAAGAATTAAAAATGAATTACAAAAGAATTAAAAAACAACTAAAAGGGGATTAAAACAGAATTAAAAAGGAATTAAAAAAGAATCCAAAAGAATTCAAAAGACCTCTTTTGCAAAGTGAAAAGCAAAGCGAAAAAGGGGAAAAGAGAATTTTAAAAAATTCCTTTTTGGATTTCGCTGGACAAGTTTGCGAAGTAAAAAGAGAAAGTTTTAATTTAAAAATAACCGTTTAGAAGCTTTTAAACGAAGAAAAATTGTTTTTAAAAAGAGGGTTTAGGGTCTAGGGTTTAGGGTTTAGGGTTTACCCGAATGTCGAAAATAAGATCTCGCCACTTCGTGGAAATGGCGGGAGCCCGCAGTTCCTCGAGCTCGTGAACAGCCTTTGAAAAGAAACGAAGAAATAAATAATTTAAATAAATTCTTTTTCAAATTTTAATCATTTAATTTCATCATTTAATTGAAAAGATATCCATTTGAGGCTTTAATTCGAAGACAAATCAGAACAAATGGACAAAAAATCCTCGAAAACCATCCAAATCCACCAAAACCCTAAACCCTAAACCCTAAACCCTAAACCCTAAACCCTAAACCCTAACCGCGAAAAGTGCGAAACGCGAGCAAATTGAAGCCCCAAGAGCCCAGACTTTCACCGAATAAATCGAATTAATTAAATTGAATTGAATTAACTAATTAAATTAAATTAATTTAATTAATTTAATTAATTAATTTATTAATTTAATTAATTAATTTATTAATTTAATTGTTCAAAAATAAATACCTGAACAATTACCCTCGCCAACTCCCGCTTTCCTATCAGCCCCAAATCCAGAGCCCGCCGCGCCGCCCGCACAAAAGTTCTAAAAATAAAAAAAATTAAAAATTATATCAATTTAATTAATTTAATTAAATTAATTAAATTAATTAAATTGATTAAATTAATTAAAT